GATGTTAAGATCTGCCTAACTCTTAACTTTACCAAATTTACACATTAGACTTAAACAAATCTATCAAGTATGAAGACTTGAAAGACAAGATTATAAATAATTTTAATTAAAGAATTCAGATGATGAACTCAATTACAAATAATAATGTGTAGGGATCACGTCAGATTATATGAAGATACGAAAAGGCAAAAAGATATAAGTTTTGAATTATTTCTTTATTAATATTAAAACTCGTATTCGCAAGAGAGTTTACAAATCTGCAAAAGAGTTAATTTACAACATAGGCAAAAAGTCTATTTATTTATATAAAATTTCTTTTATCACGGCTAACTAAATACTATGCTATAAACTAACTAATTTAGCAAAATAAAATATAAGTAAAATAAATATATTGAGAATAATAAAAATACGTAAAATAATAAAAATATAAAATATAATAAAAATAATAATCAAATTTAGAATATTAAAAATATGTATAATACTAAATATTCTTAGACTTCATTTAATTTGTAAAATTAGGATTATCATTAGTATTTGGAAGATTTTCAGAATTACGTAAATCTTCTGTATTCAGAATTTTCAGAATTCTCAGTATTTTCAGAATTCTGGATTAAAAGATCATCATACTGCATCATTCACGTGATTTTATTATGACTGGTCAATTGCTTCGTTGACAATATATAAGTATTATAATTTATTAAATTATTTTGATCTATATACTGTATTTCAAAAGATATTTATTTTAATTTTATTTTTTATAAAATATTTATTTAAATACAATTTTATTATAATAATTATAGAATATCAAAATAAAAAAATTTGAGTTATTTTTACTAAACTATATATTATAAATATATATTATAAATTAAAGTTAAAATTTATTTTATTTTCTATAATATTTAAAGATTCTATAAATTAAAATATATATTAATTAATAATATTAAAATTTTTACATTTATATATTATATAATAATTACTTCTATTTTCATTACTTTCAGTTTTTACAGTTTTTACAGTATCTTCATTTAAAGTTTACTTTAATTTTCCAGTAAAAATCAATAAATAACTTGTATAATATACTTGTGGATAAGATTCAATAAAAATATCATTATTTAATATATTATTATCTTATTTATGTTTCAATACTTTATCTGTTTTATAAAATTCGATTATATTATTTAAAAATTCTTTATTAAATTCTTACTTTTAATATTATTAATCCAACTATTAATAATCTTTATAATTTCTGATGCAGTTGGTCTTTTTAATGGATCTTTATTCTAATATTATTTCATTAATAAAATATACATTTTGGTTAAAAAAAAATATTGACCAATATAAAAAGATAAGTAAATTGACTTAAAAGGAAAAATTGTATTCATATTGCCACTTATCATTACCTTTTAATATATAAAAAAGGAAAGATTTTTAAAAAAATCTTGATGTTATTTTTAAGAAAATATTATTACAGTTTATTATTATTATATTCATTATACTATTTCAGTATTTCGTTAAATTATTTTTATATTTTGTTATACTGTTTTTATATACTGTTTTACTGTAATATTTTAATGAAATAGAAGTTCTTTATATATCAAAAAAAAAAATATCCATATTTTTTTTACAAATTTTTATATTTCTAGTCTAGCCTTTTTTATAAAAATTAAAATCAGTTTGTAAAAAAAGGATCTATAATAGCATAGCTGATTAATGACTTTTTTATTAAATCAAAAAAAATATATATAAAAATTTAATCTTAACTTTTTAAGGGAAGACGAGATGCAATTATTCACTAATTTGATTGATTAAATTCAAAAGATAAAACAATTAGTAATCCAAAACATGTAAAAAAAAACAAATTTGCAACTTACTTTCACTAGAGCTCCAAACAGGTCAGTTTAGGTCAGGTCAATAAAGTTACCTGAACTGAGAGGATCAAGTTAGGTCAAATAAAAATCTGACCTGATTTAAATTTTCATTTAATCTGATTTGACCTAACCTGACCTGACCTAATCTAACCTAATTTAATCAAATTATTTAAATTATTTAATAAACAATATTATATTTGATTCAATTTAAAACTCTAATTTATTTTGTTATTTTTCTTTTGCTTTTTCTGTAAAAAAATTGTATACGAAATGATATGAAAATTTTTAATTTGATAATTAAGTACAGTTACACGATTAATTATAGTTATACTGAAAAAACAGGTAAAATGCTATCCAACCGGCAATTGTACCAGTCAGAGTATACTTGTTTCAATATGTAAAATAAGGACCAATCAGTATTTACTACAAATCAGATATCATTCTGAACAATGTCGATTTATATCGATTAATATCTGTTTAATTTCTGATTAATATTTAACAATGATAACATGCCGATTTGGATATATATAGCTTTATTATAAATGAAAATGCCTGTTAATCAGAATAATTGCCATATAATTGGTAGTCTTTCTTTTGTCTATCACAAAGTTATTTACTACAAATCAGCTGTAAATATTGTGAATGGGTATTATGCTATCTCAGTTAGTCTTATAAAACTTATTATTCCATAATTCTACATTACAACTTCTAAGATCGTCATTGTCGACCTGATAATAAAATCTTGTTTGATGATCAGCAACTGGCAGATACTACTTCACAAATGCCAATAGGTGAGTTTTTTTACTATCCATAATCTTAATTTCGTATTCAAAGAAAAACTGAATCTGACTGGGAAATTTTTCAATTGTTTTATTATCTTGAATAAATTTAGCTAGAATAAATGAATTCTTTAAATATCTCAGTACAAAAGCTGATCTGAAGATTTTAGCGACAATACGGATATGGCTAAATTGATTAATCATAGGTTGAATAATAATCAGATGACTAAATCTTCTTAAACTATTTGATATCGATCTGGCAATAATAACAAATTCTGCATTGTATGCATTATTATAATATTCTACTAACAAATTGTAAATATTTTCTGGTAGGTTTACTTGGTTTTTTCTTAGTGTTAGCGTTTTACTAGAAAATTATTGATTACTGGTAATTGTGTTATCAATTTCAAGGTTAAAAATCAATATAAATCAACATAATTCTTTAGATTTAAACTTGTCATAAGCAGCTAGGCTATTGGTGGTTAGTTGAGACTGCAATAATTTAAGCCCTTCAGCAAGTTTAGAATTATTTAATTGATTAGACAATAAATTATTCAATTGCCAGTTTTGCATCATTATACATGATAATTCTGGCTTGATATATCGATAGCTGTTTGGAAACGATCTTATCAAATAGGATGGAATTATGATATTTGGTTTTATATATTTCTATCAAATAATAAATGAAATGTTAATAACAAATAGTATAATAATTCACCTAAAATTCCATTCATTTGCTCAAATGAATAGCACCTGAAGGAATATACGGGTTTATAGTCCTGATAACAAGCAGTAATATAAAGAGAAAGATGAATATTCAGAGTTATTGATTTTGGGCCATAATTTTCTTTGATTAAACGGGCAACAGATAACAGCTGGGTATGTACTTCATTCAATGTACTGTTGTTTACAATATATGATACAAGTAAATAAAATGACCTGATAAAATTGGCCAATATTTTTCGATCAGATTCTGCTAACAAGTTCCACATCAATGAAGTTGCATATATAAGTATAAACGATTTCCATTGATTAGCAGTAAAACCTGAAAATCTCTCTCCGGTCGCAATTTTATATAGAACTCGTTCTAAGTCAGCCAGAACCTTAATACATCTTGCTCAATTTTCCATTAGTTTAAGATGGTCTTTTGTGAGTTTCCTACCATCAATCCATAATTTTTTTATGATCCAATGAGCAATTCCAAGAAATAAGCAATGTATTGGATCAACTATCAGAAATTTGATAGGATTAAAATATGATAATCAGAGCATTTCTGACCATTGAACATGAGTATTGGAAACATGCTGTTTCCTTTCATCCTTTATTCTATATCGAAGCTAGACCATGACATTCTGATAGTATTCTTCTGGATCTTTTCCTCTAAACCAATTTACCATGTCGTTGAACCCACCGAAATTTGCTCTTTTAACATCATCACTACTAGTCTATTTATAGCACTTATGATATCCAACCAATGCTGATATGTGGCTACATAATTTCTTGCGGCCGAAATATCATTGGAACATCGAATTACAGCTGCCCTAATCCTTTTTCCAACTGGATATTTTTCTGATATCAGTAAATCATAACCATTCTAAAATTCTAATAACTCATCGATTATCAGGGCAAAGTAATAGTTAATTTATGTAATTTAATCTCATTTGGCTCTGGTAATATACCAAGTGTTAAAACATTCTCCTTCTTGAACCTAACATCATACAGTAGATTGTATATAATACTATAAATGACATCGCAGCTATAAACTGAAAACTCGAACAGTTGAAACCAGTCTAGGTTTATTATAATTCCTAGATGGGAATCAGTAGCTTTAGGTATAAAAAATGGGGATGCATCGGAAGTATTTGGGTGTGATTGAAAATTTTTCCATATCTCACCATCGTAAATATCTGACATCATATCAGCTTCAACATTCCTATATGTTCATTTTCTTAATAATTCTTCAAACCCTAGTCATTGATACATATTGCTTAATTGAGTCTTTAAGCAAGGTAACGGATATACTATTTTAGGCTGCCAAATATACCCATTTGTTACCAGGACCTTTATTAGTAGTTCTGCCTCACAAGGTTCACGTTGATTTCGCATCGGATACTTTGAGAACTCAATATAATTCATTTGAATCCTGAATCATCACTATTTGATTATATTAATAGCATGATTTCTGCAATATTATACAATTTGTTACAACTATTACATATCGCATAAGTTTTTGATTTCTTTTTAATTACTAATAACTTTCTAGCAGAGTGGATAGTTGAAAGAAGTTTATCAAAACGAAATGAATCAACATTCAATAAAACCTGCCGAAAAAATTTGATTAAGGAATTAATTGTCATATCTGATAATCGAAACCTTTCTTGATATTTGAAGATCTAAAGAGAATCCACATATCACTAAAATCAGCACTCGTATTAGAATATTCATAGTCTGATTCGATTTCTAAATCATTAAATTCAGAGGATATAAATTGTTTATTTAGAGTATCATCTTCATTATCATCTGATTGGTTAAACCAATCTTCGTCTTTATCGCTAGAGCTAACTAATTGATCAAGTTCTTTGTCCAGAAGTATATTGGCATCATCTATTTCACGAAACTGATTATATCTTCGCCTCTCCTTTCTGATAGAAATAGATTTTATATTAGGATCGATATTTTCGCATATTTGATTTCGATCGATCATTACATGATGAAGCATATTATGAGAAGATTCACTAATGACCGATTGAATTTCTACTGTTTCAGATATTGAAGGAGTTTTTGATTTAGAAGCAATGGTAGGCCAATCATTTTTATTACATTATTTATTCTTGGTCTAGAAATAGCTAATTGTAATTAGTCTTCTTTTGTTTTATGTTTTTGTTTTGTTCTAGTTTCTACTCACTTTCCATTACATTTTTTACAGTAACATTGAACTTTTAGTCTAACTTTAGTAGATTTAATGGCTATTAATGGAAACGATTGTAATTTATTGAATTTATTAGAAGTCCTTCTTATTTGTTTGAGTATTAGAAATAGATGAGTATAAGTTTAAAAGCTTAACGCGTATATGCATATACGCGTATAGCATATATATATTTTTATTCAAAGTTTAACTCTGATAGCATATTTGATACAATAATAACTAACTAATTTCCCAGCATCACCATGAAAAAAGTCACTTTTGGCTGGTATTATGGCAATGTTTCACGTGATAATATATAATTTTGGTCAGAAAATCATGTGAAGTACTTTTTTTATAATGATACTGGGATTGTTCCATTGAATCAATTAAGATCGGAAGGTTAGAACCACTAACTTGAGGCATAGTAGCGATCAAAATTCACATGAATATTTTGTCACATGTTCAACTATAACAGATTTAGATCACGTGATATTGTGGTTTAATTTGATAAACTATATAAGAACCTATAAATTTTTTTTTTCTTTACTGAATACATTCATACTTCTTTTCATCTAATAAGCCACCTTCTGATTTTTTTTTCTTTACTAAATATACTCATATCTCTTTTCGTTTGCTAACCAAAATGGCTCGTTATGGTAAAGAATATTCTAGTTACAACAGAAATAGAAGTTGTTCAAGAAATCGTAAACAAAAAGGAAAGTTACACATCATTTACATTCAATCTCTCCTAAGAATAAATACCATTATAAGAAAAATAAAAAAATAATGATAAGGATCGGTAAGAAATGTCCTACTTACATTTTTTATCTTACTATCTTCACATACTAATAACACGATTAAAGCAAATATAATTGTTTGTATTACTATTGATATAGTCGTATACTATCACATGAATCTCAATCTGATGATTCACATAAATCATCATTTGAAAAATCAAAGAAATATAATCCATCACAAAGAAAATCCAATCAACATGACAAAGAAGATTCAGATAGTTTATACATATTGGCAATTCTTTTATACTATGATGCATTATCAAATTTTATTATTGATAATAGTAGCATTAGTAGAGATGACTATTGAACAAATTAAATAAGGTAAACAAAGAGATATTGATCTTACGGAAAAGGAAGATCTACAAACGGATGATAAAACGTTTATTACAACTTAATAATTGACAAGGATCCAAAAATTTGCTAGTTCAAAAGGCGTTAAAGAAAGAAGAATACTAAGGGATGTGTCATATGATTATATTGCAGCTGAAGTTCATAAAAAAAACAAAACTGGTCAACCAAATAGAATTAGTCATAAAAATTATCACTGGCTTAGATCGGGATCATTTGGTTCTAAAAATAATGACCACTGGCTTAGATTGAGATCCTTTGATTCTGAAAGCAATGTCCGCCGTCTCAGATCGAGATCCTCTGATTCTGAAAGCAACGAGTCAAACTATTCTTAACAAAATCTATCTAATCGACGACCAGTACATCAGAGGATGTCAAAATACATAGATGTAACGTATATACCTGGATATCTTAGAGAAGCTTTAAGGGTAAGTAAAATTTAGTTTAATATACTGTAGTTTATAAATTTCATATTTTACTAATATGAATCAATATATTTCAAAGAGAGGTATTTTAGATAATTGAAAGAATACTAGCTGAAAACTGATTGAATCTAAATAATACATTTGAGGCTTAATGCAATCTTGTAAGTAGTATAATAGTTCTAACCATAATGTCATCATTGGATTCAGATACTTATTCAGTTATAGAGTCTATCGTATACAATATGATTCACGCTTAGCACAAGCATCAGCATAAAGAATATCTAAAAGAGAACGAACAATGGATTGCTAAGATGAATAGGCTCAGCAAAAACACTTGAATAGTCGAAGAAATGATGTAGGTAATGAATTAATAATATATTTGATCTCTTTAAATTATAACTATTTTTTTTAATTGTAAAAACTATTGACGTGAGCCAGAATGATAGAAAAATTACAAAAGGCTAATGATCTATTGATTCGAAAGTTTAAAGAACATGAACTTCGACCAATTAAAGAGAATTCAGCATTTCATTCACCAGATGTTTTCAAGACATATACAGACAATTCTAATGAAAAATGCAATATTATCGTTAAGGGTCTGAAATGGTGCTCATCTGCTATAAGGTCACTGAAAAATTGATTTTTTAATATTGATTAGCATCACTAATAAAATATATTGCTATAACTTCAACTATTTATAAAGGATTTATTGATCCTTATTTACAGAAACTTCTAAAATCCCAAAAAACAGACCCAGATTTATGATACCATTAACTTCTATGATAAGGAATCATTGGCACCTTTCCATACTCTAAAATGGACGTTTAAGGATTATCAAGGTTTTCTGAATGATATAATTGAAGATGTATGTAGAAATAGATCATCTGATTTTCTTTCGAATGTATCGATTACACTAAGTATTGATAGGAAAAGAGGAAACGTTTAACAAAAGTCTCAAAGTAATCTTTGAAAACTTGCAAATTTCAGATTACTCTAATAAAAAACTATGATATAAATGAAAAAAAAGAGCACAATATAGTTCTTAAAATATTAGATTTAATTTTTTTCTTTAATTCATGTATTTCATTTATGTTTATACGTTAGATAGTAACAGAAGATATTAATATGCTTTCTGGCAATGTTAGTAACAATCTGATTTGATTTTATTTTAAATAAAGCTTAAATTATTTCATAAACAGATTGTATTCTTATTTTACAGTACATAGTTATCTTCAATCCTCTGATTTAATACTATTTAATTATCCAATTCAAATTGGATTGATGCTGATTGTAATAGATTTGATTTATTAGTACCTGGCAGTTACACACAATTGTTTACAAATGAATAACCTTATGGTAGTCCAGTTATAAGGTGATTTATGTCTGATTGCTACTATAAATCGATCACAATTGGCACTTGTAAATTAATCTTAATATTTGTTAACTGGTTTCCAATCAGACAATTGTAGGAAGGATGATTGGCATCCGATTGAATGCCTATTTGATATCATTAGACGTGTGCAATAATTTACAATCTAAATTTAAATATTTTTTTAAATAAAAAATTTTGTTGAGATTGAATTATAGTAAAAGTATAATAAAATACTAATAATCAATAATTTACAATCAAAATTAAATTTTTTTAAATAAAAAATTTAGTTGAGTTTAAATTATAGTAAAAAGTATAATTAAAATCCTAATAATCAATAAAAATAACTTACCATTTATTGAATTATTATTTTAAATAAGAATTTAATTGAGTTTAAATTATAGTAAAAAGTATAATAAAATACTGATAATCAATAAAAGTAATTTACTTTCTATTATATTATTAATTATTAAATTTATTTTAAATAAGAATTTAATTGAGTTTAAATTATAGTAAAAAGTATAATAAAATACTAATAATCAATAAATTATGATCTAAATTTAAATATTTTATTAAATAAATAATTTAGTTGAGTTTGAATTACAGTAAAAGGTATAATAAAATATTAATAATCAATAATTTACAAACTAAATTTAAATATTTTTTTAAATAAAAAATTTAGTTGAGTTTAAGCTACAATAAATAATAAAGATGGCATTGCAACTGGTTGCAACTGGTGACAAATATGCATCACAGGGTTGCAACAATATTAATAAAAATTGAGTTGCAACTAGTTGCAATTGGTTATAAATAAGCATCACATTGTTGCAACTAATTGCAGCGTCATCTTTAGTAAATAATATAATAAAATACTAATAATCAATAACTTATGATTTAAATTTAAATATTTATTTAAAATAATAAATTTAGTTGAATTTAAGTTACAGTAAAAAGTTATAATTAAATACTAATTAATCAATAAAAATAACTTACCCCTTTAATATTTTAAATATTTTTTTAAATAAATATTTAGTTAACTTTAAATTACAGTAACAAGTATAATTAAATACTGATAATTAATAAAAATAAATTACCATATATTATATTATTAATAATTTTTTTAAATCAAAAATTTAGTTAACTTTAATCTGCAGCAAAAAGTATAATTAAATCCTAATAATTAATAAAAATAACTTACTATCTACTGCATTATTAATTATTAAATATTATTTTAAATAAGAATTTAATTGAATTTAATTTATAATAAAGTATAATTAAATACTATCAATAAATAACTTACCATCTATTGCATTATTAATTATTAAATATTATTTTAAATAAGAATTTAATTGAATTTAAATTACAATAAAAAGTATAATTAAATATTAATAATCAATAATATATACTTATTATATAGTATTTAGATAATAACGTACTGTTTTCAATTGAGGCCATTTGATAAGTGGCACAATCTGGTCATCAAATTGCTGAAATTGAAAATAGGAGGATATTGTCTAAAGACCTATACAATAAGTGTTTTATTATATAGACTTGCACGATCACACTATAAAATAAGTTTATTTCTAGTCAATTTTAATAATTTAATTTTTTTTTTCTACAATACACTTTTTCTTTTTGAATTTTAACATGAAAGTTTCACAAAAAATAAGGTCAGTATTGGCTGTTTTGCATGTTTTTAAATTATATAATGTATTTATAGTTATTTATTTTATGTTATTTAGTTATCTTATTCGATTGTTTATATTAAAACTACAAAGAAATAAAAAGAATATTTTAAACAAAAGTTTATTGTTGAAAATACTCATTTATCAACAAACAGTTGGCTTAAAAAATTCAAAAATTATCGCAAAACAGTTAGACTGGCTGGTATTTGTGAGAATATCACTAACTTAAAAGACTTGGAAGAACAGATATCTGATTATGATACTGTAATGAAACAACAAAATGGAGAAGAATATTCAACATCATCTATTATTAATGCAATACATGCATTAAATCGACATCTAAATATGTATTTCCCACTACAATTAGTTGATTTACTTGATCAAAAGCAATTTTCTGATTTACATTTGATACTTGATAATAAATTAAAAGAATTAGCTGAAGTTGATAAAAGCATAAAAAAGGGATCTTCAGCTCTTACTATTGAGGAATTTTAACAGATTTTGCAATCTTCTACACTTACTTGAGAAACTCCATTAGGACTTTTAAAAAAATCTTTTTTTATAATGCAATTTTTTTTGGTCTTCATAGTGAAGAGCATTATAAATTAAAATTTAATCATTTTCATAAAAAATATGATGGAGGTTATGATGTAAATATTACTTGATTAAAGACAAAATAAGGAGATATTGAAGATCCAAATAATGGTTCTGGTGATAAATTACAAATTTCAGATCATTCAAATATTATTGCAAATTATGATTTATTTTTTATTAAACGTCCTGTTAATGCAAAGAAAAATTTTTATTTATAGGAAATAACTAATAAAAATGGTAAATAATATATGTAATTTCAAAGATTTAATAATGATATCATTTATTAATTTAACTGTTATATTTTATTAGTATATATTTATGAAGGTAGATGGTATTTGA